TGTGTTGGTATTTGGACACCTCCAACCAATCTCATTCACCAAATTTCAAGTATTTATCCCACAAGGTGCTGCGATCGCGGAGGCATCGGCATCGGCATCCCAACACCAGTGCCTAATGTGCCCTAATGGTCATAATTATTTTAGCTTGTCCTATCAATGGCAGTTGTCTAAATATACATTTGTATACTCGAGTGTACCGCGCTGATGTCAAGAATAATCAGCTGCCTTGACAAAGGTGGCCCATTGGTCCCACATATTGTGGGCGCTTTTAGTTTGGCATTTTACTTCTCTCTTCGTATTTCTTCGCTTGTAGTTTAATTCTTCGTTTCTTTAAATTTCTGGGACACCAGACCTATGGTCATGATTGATTGCCCACCATACATGTCCATTAAATATGACTCTAAGTCGAGGCGTGTGGATCGTAATAGATGATGATGAAATGTCTTTTGGTTGGCTGTAATCAATTATTCAGGAAATCCATTGACAAATCGTAAGCATTGTGTGCTTGAAAATCTCTCCAGTGCTTTGAAATGGACTTTTCTTCGAAAACTTGAATCATAATAAAAAAGGAGAACTCTTTTAAGGATCGGTTCTCTTTGGGACATTATTTTTAAGATTTTTTATTGCTCAGAAATTTGTATTTAGCCCTAAACTTAAAAAAACTATATTAAAAACTAGGAATACCATTTGTCTTAGGTTCTAAACTAATGCAAAGTGTTCTTCATTCTTTAATTTGTCTGATTATAAATAACTTATGAAAATAAAATAGTTAACAGAAAGTCAAGATGATCTTAAAACATTTTACTTAACGAATTTCATTTTTACTACAAAAAAAATATATCAAATCAAATTTTACTCACTTTTAGTAAACAATAAAAACCATGATAAAATATCTTGCATCAGGTTTCTTAGTAGAAGTTCGAATGGTGACTTAATGAAACGGTTTTATTAAGACTTCTTCGAGTTAACTTAAATAATATTCCGCCCAGGCAAGGGTTGCTCATTGAGTTAAGTCTATAACTCACACACAAACGCACGGATGCCCGAGGAAGGCATTAGGGAAATTAGCATACGCCATCAAGTATACGCCCTCGTGTGCGCTGTTCCTTTGGCAGCAGCCGGAATAGACAGACTACACACTCATGTCACGATGCAATTTCAGGATATTAATTGTTATAGTTGCGAGATGTGTCTGCTTGAATTGTTCCTGAGGCTTTTGTGCGTTGCAACGAATTCCTAATCCTGTTGAAAACAAACGCATCGCCCTGCCAGGCTCTGTCAAAGGCAGAAACTGGAGGCCGGAGCCAGGATCCTGAGGACTGAGCACTGTGCACTGAGCTCTGAGTACTGAGCACTGGCATCTCGGCTGTACTGACACAAGGATTTCCGTACATGACAAGCGGCAGCTATAATTTATAGAAGCTGCGTAAGTAAGCTGCGTGGTTGAGGATGCACTATTAGAAGGGTTGGGCCGGTCCTTGGGGTTGGTCCTTGTTTGCATTCCACCATCTATCCGGACCCCCCATCCCAACCAGCGACATCGAAGACCCAGTGTCTGCCTGGATGCTGTGTATTTGTTCTCGTCTTGTTTCACTTAAATGACACTTTGCATTCTTGTAGCATCTTGGAACGCCAGCCTCCCCCGAAATAGTAGACCTCATTCCTTTTGAAGACGGGGGCTGGTTTGGCTGTCTATTCCAGCAGAATGCCGGGATCTTAAGGAATTTTCCCTTCATTATTCCGGGCAAATTTGTGTTCTTTGGTATTTTATAATTGAGTGTGAATACTTACGATTAATATGAAAATTTGTGAAAATTTAATAAAATATCCTACACGATTTCCGGATCAATAACGTTGAATGCAACTAATTGCTTATGGACTCAAGTATTTAAGCAGACTTTAGATAAGAGAAAGCGGCTTAAGCTTAGCCAGTTCGAATAGATTTCTATTGTTTATGCTTAAGACACACGAACATGGTGTTTGTTTGGCTTAAATATTTGCGAATTATAGGCAACAGAAAGGGGTTAGCATTGAAAATGTATACAACATATTTGCTCACAGCTACGGTTCGTTGATTTATACCATAAAAGTATTTCATGAGTGCACACTATTTATTTCTTTATTAGGTGTACTTATTTTATTTAAGTACTTTTGGGTGATCAAAAATTAGAACAAACATAGTTCTTCATGTTCAAGACTTCGGTTTTATTTGAAGTTAAGGATTGTTTAATAATGTTTATGACAGATAATTGACCAAGATCTTCAAAAGCTCTCAAGATCATTAACTTTTGAACTGTAGTACGCCAGGTAAAACATTTATGTAATTTTTAAGACAACTAATAAATTTCAAATTAGTGTCAGAAAACAGAATATGCAATTGAAACTAGTTAATGTATACAAAAGGCCAATCGGATTCTTACAGCCTTCCATCACATAAACGCGTCATATAATTTCTGAGATGGTTATGACCAATAGTTAAAAACCTTGAGCACTACTTTAATATTCGATTAAGTCTAGTCTTAAATCAACTTAACCGCTTACCGATTTCGACACTTTGAACAAAAAGAAAATTGATGTACTATTCACTTCGGCCCCAAGAAATGTTACCACGACATTAGAAAAGATGCCCCTTGATGCCACTTGACCATAGAGATGCCTACCCGAAATCCCGGTCTCGTCTGGGATTTAAGCATAAAGAAGGCAACTAATCACACAAAGACGACTCTTACCTACTACTGCGGCTGTCAATAATAAATTACCGTGATTTTCACATGGTGTTGAAGGATTGCCCACACACGAGTGTCCGAATGTCCGAGCCACATAGGTATATTTCTACTTGGAAACGGGTCGAATCGAGTGGAGTGGAGTGAAGTGAAGTGGTGTGGAGTGGAGATCGGAAAGCGAATGCGACAAGTTTCCAAATGGGTAACAATTTTCAAAGTGATTAATTCGCCTGCTGGCTGCCATCGAGCATTCGGCCATAGGATTGATTTATGGCCGCAAGACGTTAAGTGGATGCAAGATAAGTTAACTGTCGTATATCCTCGCCGCTGGTGACCGATCCAATCCGATCCGAAGCGATCCAAGGCGATCCAAAGCAATCCAAAGCGATCCAATCCGAGGCAGAACCGAAACAGAAACAATACCGGGAATGTCGAGTGGTTGCGACAGGCAGCAACCGGCGCGATCCCATGGTTTATGACCCATAAACGAGATCGCTTCACAAGCGCGGCGCAGCGAAGGATCTCTCATGGTGTATGGTATGGGGTACCCCAGTATGGTATAGTATAGTATCGTATCGTATCGCATGGTATAGTATCGTATCTGTTGGATACGATTAATTTACCCGGCTTACTGATTGGCTTGGCCCCATGTGTAATGGGAAATTTTATGCCCAGCGCGGTCATTTAGCATTGTAAAACAGCCCATAAAGCGAGTGAGGCCCTAAGTAGACGACTCTGGGAACGGGAACGGAACTAATGTCCCGCTGATGGCACCATCGAATTACTGAAAACCGTTTAAAAAATTTGTTACTCTGGGATGTAAGCGCCGCTCGGCATGTGGCTTTTAAACTCTTCAAGTCCCAGTATCCAGTATCCAGCATGCAGTATTCAGTACCTGTCCGTCCACTTACATGTGTAAACTGTGTCAAACGAAACCAAATTAATCACTTGCACTTACAAATACGACCATCGCGGCGGCTAATTCGGCCGCCTCATCGCAACTTGCCACTGCCACTGCTGCCTTCGTCGGCTGTCAATTTCAATTGAATTGGCAATTTGTTGCATAATCGAGCCACTGCTAAATGTTAATTTATCAAACGGCGATAGTCGTTACAAATTGTTTTCCCCATAAAAGCCAACATCCAGCGTACACATCTACAGGGTTTCAGGTAGAAGCCCACGAACACAATCACAGTCGCAAAGATGCCAGGCTTGTTTTGTTTCGCATGCGGACAGCATTTTCCATGTCTCCGGCATTTGACAATTTCGGCGTCAATTCGGCAAAAGCCTACACAGAACAAAGTTTATGAATCTATCTATACACTATCGTATGCTAGAGCACAAGTAAAAGTATACTTAAATAATAAATATGTATGTATATATAAATATGTAATATAAGTAAATATAAATATGAAAAAATGTAAATATGTAGAGTCAAATAGAATTAAAGTGTTTTTTTTCTGGAACAAATCTGGGGAGTATTTTTAATATTCTTTAAATCAGTTTGTGAAAAAAGGGCAAAAAAAAGCACAGAAGGTATACTTTTTTAAAGGAATCATCAAAAATAAGTATACGAAACACCCTTATAATGTCTTAAATTACTTGCAGATAATTTTGCTCTATATTATAATGTTAAGAGTACCTTAAAATCTTTTCATTCATTAAATCTCTTCAAATAATACTGTAAAACATATTTATAAATGTATATTACTTTTAATGAAGCTTTAATTAAACGCATATCACATTTATTAACAAGGCTAAAATTTGAGAAAAGGAAAAACAATGATTTTATTTTACATGTTTAATAAATAAATGCTACTCTTAAACTGCCATATTTATTTTCATGTTGTAGCTGTCGCTGAATTAGAACATATGATCAAACAATACATGTATGAAAAATATGCTAATTTGCCATAATTAAAAGATAAAAAGGTAATTAGCAATAATTCGTAAAAACGCTACAAGACAATAATTAAAAAATCAATAACCAGATGAATGTGATGTTCACTGCCATTACCCAGTAAATATGATTTTTTTTCATTTTGACGAACATTTGTGCATGTCGTGTTGATGGTCTGAAATGTCATTCCATTTTTGCTAAGGTAGACGCGTCTGAATTTATTTTGCACCGGAAGAAAATTTATTTTGAAGTTATTTTAATCATAAACTTTAATCTCATAATATAGACATACTTATTTTAGTCATAAACTTTAATCTCATAATATAGACATACTTACTTTACCAAAATGTTCCTTCCAAATCAAAAACAAATCATTATTTCATGATTATAAAGAATTTTATTAAACGAGTTAAAATTATTTAGATTATGTGTTCATATAGACGAAGTGTTTAGTGTGAAGTCTGTTAGACAATGAAAAACGTATCACAGTTTACAATCTTATTGCGCTAGTTTAGTATTTAGCCTAAGCTTACATTGCAGTTTTGAAGAGAAACATTTGATCTGGTACTCTAGATACGATGCATAACTTGAATGAAACTTGAAGTTACTTAACGCGCAATATACGGGGGCGGGGGCTACAGTTAATATTACACAATCCGTCTGTTGATTTGCACGATCCCATATAATGGTTTGCTACTATATACTATATAGAGTATATATGCCGTCCGATTAGTTGGTGTTGGTGAACTTCCTGAAGAGCGGCTTGAACATGGCCTCATTACGCTGCAGTTGTGGCGACGAGGAGCTGCTGCTGCTGCTGTTCCCGCTGCTGTAGTCATCCCGTGGCGAGTACTCCCCGATCCCGATCCGAGCCGAGAAGTTCATGGGGTAGCTGGAGGAGGTGAAGCCGAAGGCATTACTGCTGCGACAGGTAGCGATCATAGGGGCTTGAGAAGCGGTAGGCAGGAGACTCAAAGCTCCGCTCAGCACCTTCATATTCGGCGGAGTTTGGGGTGGAGTATCTGGTTGGGCTTCGAGAAACCCCATCGCCCGCTGACTCGCTGTGGACTGAGATTGCTGCAGCAGTTGCTGCTGCGGATGCCGCTGCTGCTGCGGATGGAACTGCAGTGGTCCGCTCGAATTTGCCGTAGTATGGATGGTACCGCCCACTGGCAACTGCTGCTGCTGCTGCGGCTGCTGCTGCTGCTGAGGGGGCATATTGCTGTAGGGGATATTGCTGCTCGTAGTATGCAGCTGCTGGGTCGTAGCCCCTAGAAAACCCCCGTAGGCCGTGGTGTGCGGCCTCAGGTAGGGAGCTGCGGCCCCATTGAACAGCTGCTGATCCCGTCCTGCATCCTGCGGAGGATATTGCTGCTGCTGCTGTTGCTGCTGTGCCTGTTGCTGCTGCTGCTGCTGCAGCAGCATCGATTGGTGACCCATGTAAGCCGGCGGTGGGGTCTTGCAGCCAACTGTGTCGGCCAGACTCCAGATCTTCGGCTTGGTAGCTGGAATCGGCACGCCACAGTCCCGGCCTAGCTGGTTTTTTGGATCCCCAAGATCGCCCTGCAGTTTGGAGCCCTCTCCGTGTTGAAAGGGCAGCATGCCCTGCTGGCCGGCCTGGTAGTAAGCGGGATGCTGATGGTGATAGGGGTGATAGCCACCCGGGTGTCCGCCGGAGGAGCCTCCTCCGCCCGGATAGCCACCGCCACCACCAGCACTACCAGCCGAGGGATAGCCAAAGCCCGCCCGCAGTATGTTCGCCTGACCCAAGCACTTCTGGTCCTCGTCTATGGCATCCTCCTCCTCTTTGGTCTCATCTGGTTCAAAGAAACAGCAGCTATAAGCACTTAATCCCTAGTAAACACTCTTAAGATCATTTACCTTTGGCCAAGCTGCCACTCTGGCTTCCCTTGCTCGCCTCCAAGTCCTCCTTGTCCTTCTCATCGTCCGACACCAGGGCATCGTCGTCGTCATCCGTGCGATTCTTCGGCTCCCAGGTCATCTTGTTCTCCTTCTTTAGCCGGCGGCGGGCATTCGCGAACCAAGTGGACACCTGGGTGAGGGTCATCTTGGTGATGATGGCCAGCATGATCTTCTCGCCCTTCGTCGGATAAGGGTTCTTCTTGTGCTCATTCAGCCAGGCCTTCAACGTGGCCGTGGATTCGCGGGTGGCGTTCTTGCGGCGCGCGGCCAGATCATAACTGGCTCCATAACTGGAATTAGAAATAAGCAAACCGCTATTTAGAGAAAAGATATAACCGAAAGTCATCGTATTTAATCAGCTTATGTATATAATTTAGTTGTAATAAATTGTATCTACTTAACAACATTGTTTGTTCTTATAAAAAAAAAATTAAGAAAATGGAGCATAAATAGTAAGTTCCGAAATTTATTGAATTTTAAAAATTGGTTACCAATAAAACTTATTTGAAAATACAAAATTATATGTTACAATCGTGGAAAACATAACAAAAATAATATTTTATCATTTATAAACTATTATACAAAAGCCTTTCTAGCTCAAATTAAAAAAAAACTTTTAAAAAATCGCTATAAATAATTCCTAAACTTAGAAATAATAGTATATTTTAAATAAATACAAATATTATTTTATAGCACGTATGTATAGGCAGATCTAGTTTTTTTATTAGAGGAATATAGTTTTTAATTTTAAATTTGTTAGTTAAAAATCAATGAACATATTTTTAATCATTCAGAAATACTTTTTAAATGAAGTGTTAAGCATTTCTTGTGAAATTTAAGCAAAAACCTAGATTTTGTGATTTAAGAGTTCGTTTTGCAGTTGTATTCTCTTTCTAATTGCAGAGCCCAAAAAAATCGTGGCAGCAGTGAAACATGGAAATTCATTAAAAATGCGGAAAACTCAAATTGATGTTTTCCTACCGCCTCCGCTCCGAGCTCCGTAGTGCCGTACCGTATTGCTCCCCGGAGCTCGGGGTCCTCGTCCTGTCAGTGTAATACAACGTCAAAATATTGTAAAACATAGTTGTGAAACAGGGCACGGCCACAAAAAGCAACAACACAGCGTCTCCGGCAATAACGAGGACGACAAGTGGGTGCAACCGGGTGATCCAGTTGTACTATATTCCACTCCGCCAGTTCTCTTCGGCAGTGCACTTATCGCATTTTTTAAGCCACCAGAGTCTGTGGCATCGTCATCATCATCCCCATCCCCATCAACCATCCGTCCTCTGCAATAATGGTCTATGGTGGTCCTGAACCCCCAGCACTTCCTAGCTAAATTAAGCCCCAAACCATGCGAACTCCGTTGCACATCCGGCTCATCCGCTTTTCACTTTCGGGCTCTCGGTTCTCTGCCCCCCGATCCCAGTTTCATCCTTCTTTACTCAACGCTTTGGTTCTTTTTCATGGGATTTTTATGGAGCCACAATCAACAGTTTGTGTGCGGTGAATTTTACAACAAGATAAAGAACGAAACTCGGGACCGCTGCCCGTCGAATGTAAATTCGACGTCCTTTCTCCTTCTGCCTTCTGCTGCTTTTTTATCCCACTTTTATTTTATTTTTTGGTTGTACCGCTAGTCTACCCTGATTGCGTGCAGTGTGGAGGATGTTGCCAGTGATTAGCACAAAAGTTTGGAGGAGGTCTCGTGGATTTTTTTACCCAGCCAACTAAAAACAGTACGGGATCTCTCTAAAAGCCGGGTTTTATTCGGCGTGAAACAACTCTATGGAGATAGGGATAGGTTGTTTAATGCGTTCTTATAATTTAATTAATATTTTTAGGTAAACAACTTATATAAAACACCAAAAATCATTTAAAAACATTTTACAAATATCTTACAACTAACAATAAATAAAAAAAAAACAATTTTTTGTATATGTTTTAAGGGGCTTTTAAAAAGGACGTGTAGTTGTTTTTAAAACTAAATGTTGATATTTTTAATAAATGATTGCATGGAAAATTTATTAATTAAGAAAAGCAAGTAGTGATGGTTGCAAAGACTTAATTTGCAAAGTAAATTAGGCTATTTGATGTTCAAGTTACATATATTCTTACAATTTTTGTAGAAATAATTTACCAATTAAGTCTTATTCAAAGGAATTTAATGCAGTTTTAATAAAAACATGTGTTTAAGAAATAAACAAAAGGGCACAAGAGATCTTCCACTGAACTGCCTGAAGAAAGAACTCAGATTTGTCCAATAACCGTAACCAGAGGTTGTGATACCCATAATTTTAGGCACGTAACCTGCAACATCGGCTGAAGGCAGTTGGTTTTATTGTATATGGCGGGCTATATGATTATCGCGTAGTTCAGTAGTTGTCGGTGGTCGGTTGTCGGATTCGACGGATACGAATCGAGTGATACGCTTTGTGGGCCTTTTGTGCTGTTATGTTTTACAACCTAACAAACATCAATTTGTCCGTAATTGGCACGCATCCTATTTTTGTATTCGCCATATAATTGCAGTGCCTCGAAATGCATGTACAACCGAATGTATGTATTATATGTTCTTTTGGCATAGCTCGTAAACAAAAACAAAAAAAAGGAAAAAAAATGATTTGGCTTTGGCTGCTGCTACTGGTGCTGCTGGCGGGCCATAATCTTGTTAACAAATCACATTCTTGTTCACACAAACACACGGACACGGGTATATGGTCACATAGCGGTCGGCTGAATGGGCCGCTTATTAGTTTTAGACCGGCTTACACACATTTACATTTCAGCTTTTATACGAGCCACATGCAATTTGGTCGGAGCCACCAATTACGGCGGCCATTATCTGCGAGTTGCGATTTACGGGCGGCGGTGGGTACATTTCGAACAAATAATGCTGCTGCCTGCCGCATGAAGCACAAATGACATTGGCTCTTGGCTCTTGGCTCCCGTGAGCAGACACGTTCATGCCTGTCACTGGGTAATTACGCTGGCTGTCAGTACTCCCCCACTCAAGGTTTTTATACCCAGCCCCCTTTCCCATCAAATACCACCTACCACCCTCTGCAATTGCCATCTGCCAGACAGGCAAACAGATGGACTGACTGACTGCCAGTCAGTCAGATTTTCCACCTTTCCGAGTTTCCCACTCCGGCGCCAATTTGTGACGATGAACAAAACAAAGCGCAACCGTTCCTCTCTTAAATGATTGTCAACCCGTAAATATATACACGCCTACACACCGGAAAAAAAAACATTTAAGTGACAAGATTGCAATTGCGATATTGTAAAGCTTAATACAAATAAATCTTCTTTTTACATTTCCATTTACAGTTCTACAATAAAACGAAAAAGGATTTTGTGCATGGAAAATTTTGGTTTAAAATAGGGGTTTTCTTGAACAAACAATAAAATCTAGTATAGACTATGTGAAAGTACTAAACAATATAAAATCCTTATGGAAAGTTTTTTCATTTATTTGCTGGACTTCAAAAGCCTTTAACTGAAGATTTTTAACGTTACTTATTTACTCAAAACTTTATTAATTTTAATGAACTTAATGGTAATATATTTATTAATGACCAAAAAACACAAGAAATGATAAAAAACGCAGCACAATCGAAAATTGATTATTACAATTTTTTAAAAATCACTTTTAAGCGTCCTAAACGGAATTGGAAACAAAGTACTTTCAAAGCAAAGTATTTTTTGCAAAGTTTTTTAGTTTTCTAGGGTTTAGGAAGTATATTTTTTACAATTAATTTTACTAACTAATAAATAACAGTGCCAATAATAAAATAAGCATTTTTCTATAGTGTAGCCACATTCAGGTCTAAGTACATACAAACACCGGTACATTGGTAAGTACGTGCGTATGTACTGTCGCTCAATATGGCGGCCAACATGGCGTTCATTTGCGGCTCACACCTCTCCGCCCCTTTCCCTGCTGCTCCTCCTCCACCTCCCCCTCCTTCTGCCACGCCCCCCTCCGTCCACCAACATGCATCGCTTACAACTCACTCACTCATTCATTCACTTAGCTGCAGCTCGATTTCATGGGCTTTCCGCACGCAAGCCGGGCCCAAACGAAACGAAACGAAAGCGAACCGATCCAATCCAACCTACCAACATATCAACCTACAGTGCGGACCATGCGGACTATGCGGACCAACCGTCCAACGGGAAGCCGCAGCCGTTGCATGCCACTCAGCATTTTCAGCCACTCCACTTTGCAGCTCTTCCCCTCGATTTGGATTCGGAATTAAATACGGACAGGGACTGGGGAGACGCCTCCTGTCTCCTTTCTCCTGTCCCCTTTCTCCTACCTCCTTTCTCCTGGCCATCGAATCACTCCTGTATGTAAGCGTACGCACTTGTGTGTGCACCCACGTGTGTACATACTTAAGGCTTAATGCATGTGCATACACATCAACCAATTCTGCAGGTTTTTCATATGCTCAACATATTTATTTAATAGGTGCTAATTATACCGAACATTCCAGAAAATCACGCACTTACACAGTGAATAAAAATGGATAAAAACTTTTTCAAATAAAAGATCCAATATTTAAAATAGTCTTTTTTGGTAGTTTTAAAATAAAATATTCATTTAGCTATACTTTTTCTATGCATATAAATAATTATAATCCTATTTTCCTAAATCCACAATATAACTTTCCAAATTTAATATAAATTAGTATAAGTAATTATTTAAATTATTTTTTAAAAATTTTCTTTAATTAAAGCTGAAACAACTCCATTTTTTAGATATCTTAGAAATGACACTGTCTAGCATTGATTGACAAGTTTTGGTTAATCACAAATCTTCTGCAAAGGTTCTTTCTTTGCTGATAATTATGAACATTACTTATTTTTATTTAAAGCCTTATGAATTTAACAATATCTGATATATTTACTTTCAGTGCATTAGCACAATGTTTTTATATATATAACTCTGTGGATGGTGTGCGTTGCTCGCACTGGCGTGCAATTAACTGCTATTATTTTTGCAGCAATCATAAATAAATAATTTCGCGCTCTCATACGGTTTCGAACAATTCATATTTTATTATCGCCAGTCCCTAGAGCAATTGCCCCTGACTGGGGGAAAATCGAGAGGAAAGCGGGGAAAAAGCGTAGGAAAACGCAGGAAATCGGAAGAACAGAGGGCATCGCCGCCGCCGCCGCTGCAAGCAATTAAATTCAAATCAATTTCAAGTACTCGCAAATATTTTGTAATTAATTATGGGCGCGCGATTGCGTTTGATTCGCCGTATTCGCCATGTATTTAAATTGGACTAAAAGGCTTTCTATTTATTTTCTATTAGACGCAATTAATTATGGTTTATGGGTATAGGGGTACGGAGTCTTAATTTGTGGCAGAGACCCACGCAATTGTCATTTAATTCTATTTTTCCCGGCATTGCCTAATTAAATAATGCTGATTATGCTTACCCATAGGCCGACATGGGATCGTAGGAATAATAGCCCGTGGTGGGCTGCAGTCCGGCCGAAGTCCAAGCTCCCATCTCCGGACCCGCGCCCGTGTCCTTGAGTCCGTACGGATTGCTCTGAAACGATTAAGAATTCAGCATTGAATTAAGTTATTATGTGAGCTGCCGCCGCGAACAAAGCATTTTCCCACAGTTCCCAAAGTTGACAATTTTGTTAACATGGAATTTATAATTTGGCAACATATTTCGCAGCTGAACAAGCAAATGCCGTCTTGCTGACCATAATTCAGAGACAGATACACCGATCGATACGGAAAAATACATAATTTAAGGCAGCAGCTTTCCGAAAATCGGCATTATCTAAGCCGGAGCGCCGATTATTGGTTATTGTTATATGAAAGCAGCAGTCTGACACTTTGAATTTTAATTTGGCTCGCTTTGGTTTCTGTTTGTGGCGTGCAGCGATTTATGCCCTCGGAAAATGACAGCCGGATTTATGAGCGACAACTATTGGCCAGATCGCCGCCCAATCTGGTTGGCCCTGTCGAGCCGGGCTTTTGTGAGCTCTTGATTTATGAAACGGTATTAACATTTTTAATTGCTTAACATGATGTATGCCGTTGTTTATTAATTTTTCAACCGCCCACCCCCAACCCGCCACTCTTCTGTTGGCCAGAAAATGCCGCGACCGAGTGACAAATATATTTATCAAAATGTCGTTGGAACAGGTATTGGATCGCCATCGAAAAGGCCCTAGTTCAGATTTATTTACCAATCAAAAACCGGGGGGCAAAATGTCAGATTTCGCTAGATCTTCCCTCTCAAAATCCAAGTATTAACACCTCGTCTCACCAAAAATTGAGCGACGACATCTTATCGTGCCCTCTGAGATATTTTCTTAATTAAAAGTATGCGCTTCGTGACGACCGATAAAGAAGACACTCGGTCAGGTGCTTGCCAGAAAATAACAAAAACGAAAAAGAAAACGGAAAAAAAGAGGAAAAAAAGAACGAATGAATTTCCTGTTGTTGTAAATAACAATTTAACATGACACTTTGGTGGCTGCCGCCGCAGACGTCTCCGCCCCATTTGCTTTTCCTCTCCTTTCCCGGGGGTTTCCCTTTTGCCCCTTACATCACTCCGTGAGGAGGTTTTCTTTGAAGTACTCGTCGAGAGCCGCCCAAGTTGATTAGACTGTGTCTGCGTTCATATTAATTAGATCGTTCAAACTAATGTGCTTATTACAGCCCTCGTAAACATTGGGGATATACTGTTGACAAAGTCGGACAAGTGTTTTAAGATTTCTCCAAATTAGGAGCAATTTATGAAACGTGTTTTATAATTTAACTTGAAGTTTACATGCTCTATTAGAAAATATATTGAGAAAAGTGTCTCAAACACACAGGTTTATAATCTATCGCAGTCAAAAAATACTATACAAAAAACAGTCTTAAACCTATGTTGTATTTTTTAATAACATAATAACTATATGGCCAAGTGTGTTAATAAACTACAAGCCGTTTAAAATACAATAATTAAAAACATATTTGTAAAGTTGATAACATGGTTCACGGTTGTATACTGCTATAAAAAATTGCCATTAAATTCTTATTGTCAATGCAACATAAAATTAATAGTTCAATTTGCAGCTTGCCAGGCAAACAATTACTTTATTATAAATTAGAAAGATGTTACAGAACTAAATTTATTAATTTCCCTGATATTCACTTTTTTATACATTTTCTTGATTATTTGGTGTGTTGAATATATTTTGAAAATTTACACCACAAATTAAGAGGTTGGCAACAAAGTGGCCAACAAATTTTTCGACAGATTTTCGAACAAAATATTGTGTACACAAGCCACGTCGATGAAAATATTTATCTGCTGTGCGATGCGGCAACATGATGTCCTTATAAAACACTTGCTCGGTTATTTGGGCACTTCCAGCTAAGCTGTTTGGCCTATCCATCTCGGGCAGTTAGTTATTTGCCAAGGCTAAATACTGTCCACATTGTTGTTATACATATTGTTGCCAATTTTATGTGTTTGTTTGTGCCTGTGTTTGTGCTTGTGTTTGCCTTTCATTCAGGCCAGCAGCAAAAGCAAAAGCAGCAGCGTGTGTTTTGCTTCAGTCATGCTGTGCTCGTGTACATTTCAGCGGTCACTTAGAGCCAATATGAATACAGTGGCGTACAAAATAATATGAGAACTTTAATATTGAAAAAAAATGCAATATATGAATTAAAAGATATTATGAAATAAAAGATAGTTCAAATTTTCATTAGAAAACCAAAGGTTTTAATTTCTATTTAACAAAAATTGTTTCCTTAGAAAAAAAATACGATATGTTATAAAATGTTATTAAACATTTATATTTTCCTTTTGAATTTGTTGTTTCCAATGACTATAAAATTGTTAAACACAGCTAACTTGCTTTCCCCCAAAGACCAAAGACTAGTTTTTTTGGTAAAAATAATAAATTGAGTTAACTGCATAAGTACCACTATTATTTTTACCCCCTGCTGTGTGTTTATGGTGCTCACACACACAGAAACATAAGCTTGATTAGCCCACACATACACGAAGAGAGTGGAGTGTAATTGAGGCCATGGGGCAATATGTTTTGTTTCCAATGATTTTGCCTTTCTTTATGCAAAGTATCAAATATCGCAATGGAAGTCGCCTACAGTTGGCAGTTGGCAGTTGGGAGTAGGGAACCGGCGGAGTAAACGGGCTTATAAATTAGGTAGATGGATAGACGGAGATAGAAAAGGAGTGGCGGGCTGAGGGCTGGGGGCTGGGAGAAACTAAACCCTCGATACGGAGCCAAATGAGGTTTGACTGAGCTTCAGTCAGCCATAATGATAATTCGATTTAGTCGACTGCATTGACAAGCCATCGTCGTTGTCGTTGTTGCTCTGTTGTTGTCGTTGTCGTTTTCGTTGTTTTTGTCTCCCTCCTAAGCTGCGGACAAAAGCCACTGACTACACAATTAAAGTCATACGTTGAGATAATCCATTTAGCCCTCTGGCCCATGGCTCTTGGCCCTCCGCCTCTTGGCCGTAAACACTTAGAAAAAAACTATATTTTTTAGTGCCAAATAAAGGCCTTGCCACTTGGCCTGATATCATCTTATTCAATATCAAAATTTATAATACAATTTTAAATGATTATTTTAATTCTCAAATGATTTAAAATTTAAAAACATGTTTGTAAAATTTTTGAATGTTTTAACATTAAAATTTTAAAATAAACGTTAATTTCATTTATCACTGGCAATGTTTGACATGGTACAAATTTTTAAAATAAAATGAAAGCATACAAGTTTAGGAGATATGAGTTTTTTCTATTTTAAAAGTAATTTTTTTCGGTTGCCAACATTTTTTATAAATTGATAAACTTGTTCCTTAAATAATACAAAAATAAAACCTTGAGTTGCCCCCTTTAAAAATAATTTCGAGTGCACTTACCAGCGGCGAATAGAAGGCGGAGCTGTCCACTCCGATGCTCTGGTAGGGATTCTGGTCCGTCGAGGGGTAGGGCGTTCCGTAGACGCCGACGCTGGCCGCCGGCAGACGGGAGTAGCTGGAGAGGGCGAGGCGTGCGGAGTCGTACTGGCAGGAGCAGACGGTCTGACCCGACACCGGGTCGGTCATTATGGGCCGCCCGTTCTCGCAGCAGGAGCCGCCAGCTCCACCGGCCGTGGGCGTCGTGCCCACACCATTGCCGTCCAGGGAGCCACCGGTGGTCAAGTCCGCTCCCGCTCCTCCTCCCGCCGAAGATCCTGCCCCGGCTCCAACCACCGTCGCCGCATTCGAGTTCTGCGAAAGAGCATTGGGACTGAGCGCCCCCGAGGAGGCATCTCCGCCAGCTCCGCCGGGCGGCTGGCTGCCCTGACAATCCTGACCTCCCGTGGGGCTCATCGCCGGGGCGTTTGTCATCACCAGCGCCTCGTTCACGTTCACATTCACGTTCGCGGAAGCGTCCTCCGTCGGCACTTGGGCACTTGGCGGCAGGAGCTGCAACGGATCGGATGGGAAGATGGAAAGAGGCTCTTCAGTCTCACTTTATCGCAAATTGAAACACAAATTCGGCTTTTCAGCCGCTTATCTTATGTGTATATTAAGGTGACTGCACTAAGAAAAAGTATTCTTTAATTTCTCCCAATTAGAGTTATAAAAAAAATTAGTAAATCAATATATATTTTATAAGCAAACTTTTATAAGTTATGTTGGTTTTTATTGTATATTTATTATAGTCGATAATACAAGTTATCAAGATTTGTTTAAGGTAGTTCATAAAAAAATATTAGTCAAAAAAGTTTTTTAAATCCACAGAGATATATTTAAGGTTATCCAATACCATACAATTACATGCAGGAACTGACTTATCAATATAAAGAAACATTTAGACACAGATAAATGTTATGTAAAAATAAAATTAGATTATCGAACAGCCTTTATATTTTCCCCACCGTGCAGGTACTTCAAAACTCGAAAACTGATAGCATTAAGTGATATATAAACACACATTGCCACTGGTCTACATAACTAATGCATGGTAATCAAGAGCCCATTTTAATTTTTTATTTCAAACACCAAAGGCTGATGATCGAGAAATATTTTTCGTCAGCTGCAGAAGGGTCATTTTGAATACCTTAAAGAGATACGAAGATCGATAAGACTCCACACTTACTGTGCTGAGGTGGGGCTTCCTGGAAACCTCCAATCGATGTGATTTTCAAAGAAAATATTTCATTTTTGAACACAAAAAAGCTGTCCTAAACTGACAGTGTTTATCTTCAAACATTTCGCCAATGAATTAGTTTCTTGCGCTTCTCAAATGATAAGAAATTTCGTTAATGGATCTAAAATATGTGAACACAGTCAAAAATGTCACTACCATTTTCAAAAAATTGGACAGTTCGCATTTTTTAGGTAATTCATTTTCTTTCCAATAAATATTTTTTTAATAGAGACATTTAACTTTACGAGCTTAATAATTTAGAACTAACATTTTTGTAAAAAACTTTTAGGGCATTAACAAATTGTTGGTTTTAATTTCATTAAATGGGTCTACAAAAAAACGTCCTTTCCATAAAAAGAAAAATTATTTTTCATTTTATAAGATGTTATTACAAATTGAGAAGTGATCGTAAAATTATGAGGATTAACGTTGACAACAAACTAAACTAGAATTTACCTATACCTATATAAAAAGGAAATGTGTTCCTTTCTTAAAAAGTGTTGTCTGCATTGATCAATTAATTTTGTACAATTTCATTACAAATTGAGAATTGATCGCATAATTATAAGAAATTGCCTTTAACAACAAACTTCACTAGCTGTCAACTTAACGGCGAAGATGTGTAATGAAAACCTGCCTGAAAACCTGGGAATAGAAGCCTCCAGCTCGGCACAGGAAACGCACGTACATGCATAATGGCTAATTTTCTATAGCATAAACCTGAGTAAGTCATGCTAACTGCCGCCTTACTGGAAACTTCATAAATATTGATGTCCGGCAATGTTGTTGTGCCCACCCCATACAGTCCTCCTCATCCTGAAGACACCAAATCCGAGCGGGGGCCGCGGCTTGAATCGCTGGGTAATTGCGAATTTAATTCGAAAAATCGACAGAAGGCCCATTACAAGATGCATCGATAGCATGTAAGCGAATATGGTGTTAACACACAATCAGTGCCGACGGCAGGAAAGCGCAGAAGCTGCCCGGTATTGGGATTCATAATCCCGGGGCGATTAAGTTCCCTTAATCAATCGCCGGATTCACTGGATTCCACCATATGCCTCAGCCTGCAATGGCGGCCAGATCAATTACCCCGCAAATCGATTTCAAGTGCTGGCTCTGAGGCAGCAACAACCTGATGTGCTGATGCAGTGATGTCCTCCATCTTTTCGGAGAGCTTCGCCTATGGCATGCGCCAGTCACTTGGCAATTAATATGCAAAATGCGCCAAGCCCAGGACTGGTTGGGCATTTAAAAATGCCAGAAATCAATGAGGGTGTGGCAGCCGACGCCTATAGGTCCGCAGAGGACTGTAGACTTGGGCTCCACAGACCCATCCGCGATCGATATGGGTATCGAGATGGAGATGGAGTCGGGCAACATGCTGGCGAAGGCTTCTGAAAATTACCTCGGGCAATCTGCGAAATGAGCGGACGACTCTGGCTGCCTCAATTTCAAAGTCTCAAGTCTCAAGTCTGAAGCCTGGCGAAAATACCGGCGAACCCATAATTAAGTTGAGTGCTCCGCCTGACGAACAGCTACAAATTGATCGAATGCCAAGCAAAAGGTCATAATATCTCTCGGCAACAATTTCAGCCCGGCTTACACGGCTTCCGTGGCGGAATTCTGGGCCTGGGTCTGAGCCTGGTCCTGGGCAGAAATTAAATACGGCCCCAAAACGCATAATTATTCCGCGCCATTAACATAATCTGACAATAGAACATTCGCCCGAAAAAAGAACGCATCACATGCATATTATTTTATAATTATCAGATGCGCGATCGATGCGAGATCGATCCTTTTTGGCTGTCTACAGGTGAGTGAGCCACTAGAAGGCCGTTTGATCGTCTCATAATTAATATAGGAACATCATTTTGAGTCATGCTGGAGCGTACAAATAATAGAATTTCGAGGCCAAGACCGACCGCTGACTATATATAGGGACATCATTGGAAAAAAACCGAAAACTGAAAACCGAAAACCGAATAAAAATAAACGCACAACCATTTATCAAAATTTTACAAATGAATGATTCAGGTGTTTTTTGTGCCGCGTGATTTTAATTAGTAAAAAGCAAATACATTTCGGTCGGCATGGTCGGGTATGGTATGGAATGGACTGTATGGGAATGATGTTCAACGATCGGAAGGAGGCTCCATTCTCCGTTCCCATCGACTCTCGCCACAATATGAGAATTATGACAACTGATCTGATAGGCGACACCATATAGGGAGCTCTATGCGCCTGCCAGATTCCGCAGCTCCTTGAGCGAATGCATTATTCATGAGGCAGAGGACTGAGGACTCCATTCCTGCCTTTCCTGCCTTTCCTGCTTTCCTGCCTTTCCTGCCTGGTGAGGAAGCGCCAGTCCATCCAGTGGGCCATGGCCATGTGAATTGGCCACGTCTTCGGTTGGCAGTTGCATTTGTAGGTTGGGAGGCTGAGAGGCTGAGAGGCTAAAAGTTGCGACTTGCAGACGACTGGCAGGCGACAGTGCGCAGATAAGATCTGCTGGCCATGTGTGCCCAGTAACCAGTACCAGTACCAGTGCCAGACCAATACCAGATCCCAAGTACGAGTCCCAGTCCAGTTTCAGTGGCTTTGGAAATTACTGTGAATCGCAAACGCAGCGATCTAATCGCGTCTTGTATCTCTGGGTCCGCTGCCTGGCTCCCGGATCCCGATCCCGATCCCAAACCAGAGCCCTCCCCCGACAACCTCCAGATGACCAAGTTGATAGCATGAGACTATAAGCGCCACTTGGAGGACGAAGAGGAGTCCCCACAGCCACCTCCTCTTCCAGGTCCAATGTAAAGTAGATCAGAGAGGGCCCAAAGTCATTGGTCCATCGATCGTTTGGTCTGGGGACGTCGGACTATCTGGCATCAGCATCCAGCATCAATGGATGCTCCTCACGTAGCCAGCAAGGCATTCCCAGGGCCTGCCCTCAGCTGTCACTTTACGGTTATGAATTTTATGATTTACGATCGCCGCAATTGAATTTTATTGACTTTTCAACAGTTTCACCTGAGCGTGCTTCAATCGGCACCTCCCATCGTCTTGGCCTTCTGATTGCCTACGAGACGACTGGCTGTTTTTTTTGTTTGGCTTTCGTTTTCGACTGCACTTAATTGGACTCGTGTGGTCCGAAATGGGAAAGAGACTCCAGAGTTCTGCCGAGGAATCCCCACCACACTGTCTTCTTAAAACCGGCGACGATGCCAAGCATTTATGGCCTGGGAAATTAAAGTTTTACTCAGCCTCTTGACCTTCCCCTCTAGTTCGGTCTATCTCTAGGAAAACGCAATCAATTTTACCCTTGGCTTGCTAATAATTTTTGTATAAAATCAGTAATCCATCAATATATTTACACAACGAAATAGTTGCACCTGTGTGAAAGCTTTAAAAGTGCCGAACACTTTTTGTGCATTTTTGCAATTGACAAAAAGTCTCGAGTCCTTGGAGTGCTTTTTTCTCAGGCCATTTATCAGCCATCTGATTTATTGTTGTTTTTTTGTCTTCTACCAATTTACTGTCATAAACATGGAAAAAGTTTGCCTTAAGCAGCTGTTTTTGCTGCTTAGCGAAAAGTCACAAAGCGCTAAAATCAAAGGCTTTGAGCGGTTTTGCCCTATAGTGGGTCTTCAAGATCAAATGATCTGATAGCTTTGACTTGGGACGGTGAAAATACTCTTATGAAACTTGGTGGTAAGGATCTCAAATTTAATACATTGTTAATAAACATTTGTGCAAAAAGAGGTACTCAATTCAAACTTTTAATAACATAAAAAAAGAATGTAATTTTAGTTGGCTTTTATCGGTTGATGGTTTTTACAAATATATATCTTTGACTTTATTCTTAAGTTTAAAAGCTTGATAAAAATATGGTTTTGAAGATAAATAAACGGTAATCATTACTAAGCTTAATCATTTGTTACCTAAAATTATTTCTTTACGCTTGACTTAAAATCATGATAACCTTTTAATATTGTTGAAAGCAAACATTATTAAAGCAAAAATTATAAAGTTCGAGTATTATTATTATGTTTGCTAATAAGAATTTTCTTATATTTTTGGGATACATCAAAGGGTTTATGAAATTGTAGATTTGTATTGGCTAATCATAATCAGTTAAAGGAATCGCTTGAATGAATAATATTAATTCTTAATTCTTATATTTTTAAACGAATCTTTCTATATAATAAAATCTCTTGTGACTTAATGACCATAAATATTTATAAGCAATTATAATTAAAGACCCACCTGCGAGGCCGACGGAAAGCCTCCGTATCCGAATTGTGTGTAGGCAGCCATTTCGCTGGACGACTATATACGACTATAAGACCTAGTCTTAAGATACTCTCTCTCTCAAAGGGCAGTCTTGTGGAGGATATATATCGCTGCTACATCAAATGATGTGCTTATTAGGTTAACTCGGCTCAGTTTCGATTGGGTCTGTTCACAGTCACCGGCAATGGGGACAATAACAACGACATGAGGCGGCCAGCCGAAAATAACTCGGGAATATGCAGCAGTATATCCAAAAGTTTCTCAGGGATTGCAGCTGTATCTGTCACTCTTTTTGTATTTTCTTATTCCTTTTTTTTTTGTTTTGTTGGTTTAAGCCAAAACGGGGGCAACACTCGCAAAACGCGGCGGCAACACACACTCGCAAAAACGAAAATCGACGAAATATCGACGGCAAAACGCGCGTTACATTAGCACACGCTCCTCCAGATGTGCACCTTATAACGTTCGAACACGAACTGGTTGCGAATGCCGTTGCTGTTGCCGCTGTTGCCGCTGTCGTCGTGATGTTGCTGTTGGCCGTGTTGCTGCTGCTGGTGCTGCTGCTGTTGCTCCTGCCGTTGCTGTTGTTGTGGCGCATTCCGCTGCAGTTGCTGCCAGAGCGGGACAACGCTACCGCCCCAAAAGAATGCCGCTCGCCTTGGAGCAAAAGCCGGCGGACTGGAAGTTGGAAATTGGGCAACGCCCACTTCACATCGCTGGTGGTGGTGGCAGTGGTGTTGCTGGTGTTGGTGGTGGTGGCATTTTCCTCTCACTGAAATCCATTCCCCGCCAGCAACTCGTGTTCGCAGCTCACTGGAAGTGGCAGCCCAACCACCAATCATACGGCTCCATTGCCTTCGGCTGGCCGGTTTAATGGACAGGTGCGAGGTCGCCAAACAAAAGAAAGCAAAAATGAAATGGAACTACAAGATACTCGTGCGGGAACACATCCAGAATTTTCACAACTCTCGCAGCACAGCTCTGTGTTTTTTTTGTTGCCCCTGATTCACGGGCAACGCCCATTTGTTTTGTTTGGCTAGTCATTTGTTTGTTTACTTTTCAAAACTCTGAACTGGGAATTCTGGGTTGGCACCACGGCGATCGCCAGCTGAAAATGCCAAGTGGCTAAGTGGTGACACAAAAGCGTTAATACGATCACCGAATTCCTCTGCACTCGCTCTGTATTTATCGCCCGTCATTACCTTTATCGCTGAATTGCGAGAAAGTTAACTCCCATTATCGATCCTAGCTAATTAATCTTACCTTATTTGGCTTATAAAAAATACTAACCTGCGCTTCTCGCTTAAATATCACACTCGAATACCAGTTTCTCGAAATATCAACGAGATTTTAATCTATTTCTGGGAGGAATTAATATCCTTCCCAAGGCAATCATCATCCATTTTAATTTTTAGCCATTCAAAATTTTCCATTTATTTAAACTGCATTGAAATGAGAGGATATGGTAGCTATTAAATTGTTAAGATGGTATTTAATAAAATGTGTTCCCCATTTAAAAATGTACAATTATTAATTTAGTCTAAGTTTAAATAAAATAGATTTTTGTTGAAAATAAAAAAGCTTTTTAAGAACTATATAACTACATTAGGGTTTTGTAACATTTAATTAACTAACATTTATAGGATCGCAAAACACAATTAATTTCAATTAAAATTAAACTGTTAAAACTTAAATAGGTCACTAAACCGTCGGTCGAAGCTCAGCAAATATGAAATACCTAAAATAATATTTCTGCCAATTTCCTTCACTTTCAAGCATTTCTAGTTTACAAACCATTTTAATTGGAATTAAATTGCATTTAACATGCACATGTACCCCAAAAACACATGAAAGAGCTGACCTCATTGTTTGACGAATTGCATCAATCAAATTGAATATATGATTCTGTACGTTTTTAGATTTTTTTTAAATTTAAATGTGATTTTAGTTTGCTAAAAATAATGTTTTCCACCGAGTCATATGAAAATCTTTTACAATTCATTTATATTGTACTCATATTCCGAAATATAAGCCCTTAAATTTTAAATAACTCAATGCTCGATGCTCTTCCGTTTACTACAAATTTATGCCGAACTTTTTACTATTCTTTAAAAATGCCATAAGTTTAGTGGGTGAAAATCTCCGACTGATTACCCATGCGCATGTGAAAAGTGCTGCCATTTCCGCTGGCTGCGTAAAGTTTGCAAAAAAGTTTCGCTATTAATACGCACTAACATATTTGGACTTCCGCTTTATGATCTATTTTTTACGATTCTCCCGCAGGACGAAGGACTGGCGGGGAGTCGAACTAATGCGCAGCGTGCCCAGGACACGCATTCCGGAAATGGTCTCTGGCGAGAGTCCACTGTGGACGATGCCGTGAGGTAAACCTCAAATGTTTTTGCGGGTGTCGCGGATGCTCTCGTATGTTGGCAAGCTTGTTCACTGTGTTTTTTGTTTATTTTTATGATAATGTAATAAAAGCAAATTAACCTATAAAACCGAAAAAGTGCGACTTACACGTTGGAATTGCGCCATAAGGTCTGGGCGTGTCCTCACCTCGCACCGCACAAGATGTATATGCATTTCAGTGGGCAGGGAAAAAAGAGAAACGATCCATGCGGTGCTGATGGGTGTGTGGGTGTGGGCAGTGGGTGTGGGTAGCGGGTGGTGGGTGTTGGGTGGTGAAACGGAGTGGTGGCACCACCCACCGCGGCCGAGCATCGGCGCAAAATGAGAGCAACGTGTTAGCGCAAAGCAACAAATGACCAAAGCTGTTGCCCCTGCCAAACGTAAATGTGAATTAATTCCAAGGGAAGCCAAGTCATGCCGAGGCCAAAGGCAAAGCCCAGCGGCCACTAAACACTTAGCCAAAATTATGCAACAAACAGATCAATTTAATTGTATCTATTTAATCACAAAACTATGGTTTTTTACTTCTTAATTAAAGTAAAGAAATTAAATCATATAGAACTAATTTCGGCTGTTCCTAAATTCAATAAAAATAGCTTAAAGACTTGTGATTAGTTTAATAAAGTTTTATTAACTCTTTGTCAAATCTATGATGGCTTATAATGAAAATGGATTTGTTTTCCGGGAAAGCTTAAAAATGTTAAAGTGTTTTTCAAGACATTCATTACTTGGAAAGTATTTTATTTAAAATAAATATATTAATTTATACATCTAATCTTAATAGTCAAAGCATATCAGTGTAACCTTTAATCACTTGTATGTTCGTTAGATAAATAAGGTAAAAGCAAAAATTTGCTGACTACTTGTCTATTAAATTTATACATATATAGCCTTAATATATGTATATGAGAAGTAACAGTAACAGATCCTTAACCAATTCTTAAACTAAATCAGTCTTGGCTGAAACTAGAACTAAACTTTCAAATCAAAAGCAAAACTAAGAAATGATCTTCAATTTTTAAGTAATATAACCTTAATTGATAATGAGCTCAAAGCTTTAAAAAGTTGTAGTTTTAATTTAATAACATCAATTTTTTTACAGTGCATCGACAGCAACAACATAGAGTCCGGGCCAAGTGCCCCTCCGGGTGTTAAGTACAATATTTGCTGTGTTGCGCGTTTTACGAGTGGCGCTTTTGCAATCGCCGGGCTTGAAGGGGGAAACGGGGTGTCGGGCGGAAGAAGGGGGGAAGAAGGGGCGTAGAGGTGGCGGGGGGCGTGGCAGCGCCAGGCCAAATGCAATCAATCAATGGGTCAGCATGATGGTACACACCAGACGAGTGGCAACCACATGGGGCGTTTCCATTTGCGGCAGCCACACTGACCACCCTCTGAGTCGAGATTCGAAAGTCCTGGATCTGGGGTCTCGAAACTTGGATCGGATCTGGATGCGAATTGGAATCGGTGGCAAGAAGTGCACTTCACTTACAAATCAGTTGCTGGCACTTAAAACCTATTTTGACAATTGAGCTGTCCGCCTGTCACGCTGACAGCGCGCACTTTTCACGCCACTCGATATGGCGTATATATACTACACATAAAGATATAAAGGATACACATATATATCAAGGATTCGGCAAAAATATGGTGGTGGTATTTCCTCCACCGTTTTATGCCGTTTTAATTGCAACATCTGTCACTGCGGTTTATGCATATATCAATTTCAAAATAGCCAGCAAATGGCAACGGCAATGATTCCAGAACCCAAACCCCCGGACCCCGTGGAAAATGAAATATATTTTTATTTTTATTATTCGCCGGCAAAAACTGTCACAACACACTCGCCGTTGACGCCTGTCGAGTTCGGTTCCGTTCGGTTCGGATCTTCGAAAAAAGGGACGGGGTTTGCAGGCAATCCGGGGATCCGGGTCTGAAAGAAGGGTCAGGACTCGATACGCACCACACACACACTCTCTGCCAACCTTTCCCTTTTCCCTGCCGCGCGTTTATTGTTGTCATTTTCAGCGGGCCCGACTTTAATGGTTGTCAGAAAACATTAAAAATTGTCACATGAATATATCGGTCCGTTACACCACGCGTAATTGAGTTCTACTCATTATGCAATATTTGCCTTATAGGAATATAAGTTCATACACATGTACCATTCACTTTCGGAGTGTGCTGATTTTAGTTTTTGACTTTAACAGCGTCCCAATTTGGACAAGAATAGTAGTTAAATTAAATGAACAATTGAAATCAAGTATTGAGGGTGGATTAATGCAACTGTATGGTTACAAAAATGTTTACTTATATCTGTTCAAAATAGACAATCATTTACATATGCCACAGGTCTGCAAAAATTTTAGACAGGTTGAGAGAAGCCTTAAATAGTAAAGCCTTTTACAGTTTCCATTTACTTTGAGTATCAAATAATGTATTTTGGTAGACACTTTTTTGGCTGTAGACATTAAAAAAGAAACTTTAAAAGCTAATATTTTTCAGTTAAGTCCAATTAATGTAAGCCACACGAATAGTGCTGCAGTTTAATGACGTACATGTTATACAAGGATATTAAACAACTATCGTTTTAATTTAACTTACAATTTGATTTGACCAGTTTGAGTTAAACATAAAAATATATGGCAAATATATGGCAAACGTTGAATAAATTGTTTAAGATTAAATGTCAAAAAATAGTTAAATAGGACCATAAATCGGAATCACTTATTTTAACACAGAAGCAACCTCCATTAAGGCATTAAAATCTTTTTGGAATACCAGGAAATTAATTAAAAACCATTAAAATAAAAGATTTAATTAAAATGCACTCATTTGGTTTAATTATAAGTGGCTTTTGAACACCTAATCATGTAAAGCAAAAAAAATAATGGTACAAACTAAAATATTACAACTTGAGTGCGTGAATCAATTTTTAATCAATTTTTAATTTCCCAATAACCCGTTACCCTATGCTCTTAATAGGCAAGTTAATAAGGATTAAGAGCTTATATTTGATACACCCTGCACCCCCGAAGTGTAAATATTTTGAATCAAAGCATTTAAATACCGTTTCATTGTTCCCGAAATAAGTGTAATTGAAAATCTCTTAAGCGCTTGGCAAATATACTCGAAGGTGGAAGTTCCAGGGGGACAAATGCAGATGCACAAGGACACAAGGACACAAGGACGCAGGACGAAGGACGAACGACGAGGAAGTGCAGAGGCTAAATGAGTTTGTCAATCAAAATGCAAATGTCACCGGGAAGTGACATAATCCCACTTGGGAGTCGGGCTAAGCCGAGCGAAACGAGCCGAAATCCCGGTGCGAGCTAAAGCATTTGACCGCACTTCGCAGCCAACACCACCGAAATCGAAGCACTCTACTCTGCTTTATATGGCATATGAGCAAATTCCCGAGCTCCCCGTCGGAAATAGCAACATATGACGATCTGAAGTTGACGTGATACTTTGGTACTTCCAAAAACCAGGGGATGAGGGCCTGGCCAAGTGGGGGTGTTAAATTGCAGTAATCGGCTCTCGGCAACGGCGACAACGTTTATGTTTTATGTGCTCATTTATAATGCGCACTGCTCATTTGGTAATGGTTCAATAATGACTGTCAGACTACTTAAAAGGCTGCCCAGGATTGCGTGGAACCGCTGACATCTGCTCAGCATTACGGCTATCCAGCCGTTTGACTTTTCGAACAAGCCAATCCAATCCAATTCGACCGATTCCCGGTCACAATAAATCTCCGATTCTCCGCCAGCTTGAGCAATTCGCGGTGACAGCCAAGGCCTCGTGTAATTTTAGGCGCCACTCTCCAGGGGTCAAGAGGAAAGCAGGAAAGGAGGAGACGAGGATAGCTGAAATAAATAAAGCCGAATCGCAGGTTAGAAATGAGGGAATCTTGGCTTGGCCGAACACAGAAACAAACTCTGTCCGGCCACGACTTCGATGTGACTGGGCCAGATAGACAGCCGGAGTTAGTTGGCACACTCGAAACATTTAACGGACCAACAAAAACCTCACAAAAAAAGTTTTACATCACAGTGCTTTCAACTTCAAGGGGTTTCTTTAAGAAATCTTTAAACTGTTAGGATGAATTGCTAATCATTAGTTCAACATTGATAGAGAAAAAGAATCAACTATATGAGTATCATATGTTGTCTCTTAATTCGCTAACTTACTTTCGTTTTTGTACGCTTTTTCCAATATTGTTGTCGCAATTAAAACGTTTAAAATTTAATCTCTAAGTATTTTTTTTTTAATACGGTACCCTTACTTTTTTATATTTTTAGTTGATACTTAATATTAACTATTATTGTGTGTCTTAATTGTGTTCTAATTTTTGAAGTGCAACTGCCTAATGGCAAAAAAGTCATAAGAGCTCACTTGCCCAGTGCCATTCTCAGGCCCATTCCCATTCCCAATCCCATTTCCAATCCACAGCCCAATCCATTCCCCCTGCCATTGCTATTTCCACTCCCGTTGCCATTCCCCAATTGCCAATTATGCCGCAGCAGCAGCTCATTCGATCTTATAGCAACCATAGCATCCTAAAACATACCATCCAGTACCAGTACCAGTACCAATACCAATTCCCCATCCTCGAGACAAGACAAACGCTGCAAGTTGCAAGTTGCAACTATCGAGGATCGTTCGCCGTCGATCGCTGTCTGCAGCATTCGCCACTGACGCCAACCGGTGTACAAAAAGTGGGGTTTCCAAATGAAGGGGGGAGGGTAAGGGGAAGGGGGAGAAGTATCTGAGGGATACACCAGCATCCACAGCTACAAGATGGCTGCTGCCAATCCTCGCCCGCACCAATGCCAACTCCCCCAGATCACAAAATGTGACTCCCGTCCTGGCCAGACGTTCTCTTGTCGTGCCGAGGTGGCATTCGCTGGGAAAACTGCCTCCAGATACAGATACAGATACTCGCATACGGCATATAATTTAATTTACGACGCTTATCAGGCGCCACTTTGCGACGCAATCGGTGACAATTGCATAATCCGGCTGCAAATGCCGAACATTGCTCTAATCGCACTGACGAGCCGTTTCTCACTTACTTTGAGATTGGAATGTTTTTAGTTGTGCCCGTCGAAAATGGCACTTAGTTAATTAAAGTCCTTGATGGGAATTAAATGGAAGAGGAATCAAACGTGGAGGAACTATCTTTTATTTAAAAATTAGTTTTATTCAATCAACCTTATTTTATAGTGGTTCCAAAATATATATAGTTACAATTTTGAATTAATACGATTTTTATACTTTACTGGTATTTTTGGTTCTACAACAAAAGGGCATAAAAGTGACAAATTTGCTGGCTACCATATATTATTATTAAAGAAAAAGAAATTCAATTCAATTATGTTCAAATAATTATTGACTAGTAATTAGCTTTAAAATAGCTTAAATATAAACTGACAATCAGCCCGTTATATGTTATCTTTATCCCCAAATAAAATGATAAATAAGTTTCATTTATTTAGTCACATTTATGAGTCGAGCACGCTTCCTCCTGCCCACAAGGTACATTTATCCATCCGCAAACGAATCCAAAGAGTGCGGGCATACAAATTAGTGCGCATCTGCGCCTTCGAGAATGGATTCTGGTTGTGGGGAAATCCCAGAGGGGAAAACGGCTCGCAGAGTACAACACGTCTTGACATTTGCATCTTGAAATGCAAGTGAAAGATACAATCCCAATCTGTGTATCCAGATGCGCCATTGTCACTGTCATCGGCTGTGGCTTCCTTTCGGCTAGAGAACGAGAACTCTCCGTGCGGATGATAAATGACGTCGATTCAACAAATTGCCACACATACAGGGCCCAAACCATTTGGCCAATTGAGAAGGAAATCAACTCCACTCTATGGCCCACATACAGGAATTGCACACTTGCTGCCAAAGTTAACTCCCCGTTTTCGAAGGCAGGGGTTATATTTCGCCTGCTCCGCCTCCTAAATTTCCATTTGGCAATGTCTCAGGATTTAATTCGGAGCTGTTTTAAACAATTCTTTTGCATTGCGAAAGCTACTCGAAACAGACGGCTTCAAGTGGAATTGAATTTTATGCAAATTAACTCCCACTTTGATTTACAAGTTAGCATGCCAGCGGGATTTCATAATTGATTATAAACCTTTCATATACTGTATATCTGTTAGGATAACACAACACAAAATTCATTAACAAAATTAAATTAATAATATTTTTACGTCATACATAATTCGGAATATAAAATTTAAACTGTAAGAAATAATGAAGATTTCAAATTTTTAATCAAACATATCCACCATTTAGTTTAAAAAAGTAAAAAACGCCAACAAAATGTTTTTTTGTATTATTTTTGTTCTTTACGAGATCCCACCCTATCTTACAATTTTATTATAATATTGTTTAAGTAGTATCAAAATCTATAAATTTAATTTGAATTTTTCTTTATAATTATGTTTTCATGCTCATAAATGTTTTCAAAATGTTTGTTTACCATTTTGTTATTATAAAGTGTTTTTTGTAAATTATCTTTTCATTAAGTATTACCTCCTAAAACCAATTCAATTAAATTACGAATAAATGATGACAGCTAGCGGGTTTCATGCCAACCAGAGTTAAGTCAGCCAGCTAAATCAGCGAGCTTTTTTCCGCAAGGCGCCAGGGATGCAACAAAATCGCAGTGCGCTCAGTGCCCTGGTCGAATGTTTTTGTTTGTTGTGTTTTTTTATTTGTCGCGTTTAAAAGTGTTTTAAAGTGAATTTTAAAGTGCAATGGAGCTGCCGAAGGAGTTATCCATTGCGGAGATCCGGAATTACATGTTGGCCAACGAGTGCAAGGTGACAAATCACGCGTTGGTGAAGCACTTCAAGAAATTCCTCACGCACCCGCAGTCGCAAAGTGAGTCATTTGTTTGTTTTTTTGACCTGTTGAATCGCAGAAAAGTCTTGAAAATGGGATTGTGAAATATGTATGTACATGTTTTTATCAATAATTCTAGATGAGGCTCGCAAGCGTTTCAAGACCTATGTTACGCTGCTCTCCACGATAAAAAACGAGAACAATCAGAAGTTTCTGATACTGCGTAAGAAATATGTGAACGAATGTCCCACAGAGGAAGTTGTGGAGCGCGCGGTGGCCGCCGCATCCAGTAATCCGGAGCCCTCGAGTCCGGGCGGGGGATCCCTGAACTTTGACTCCCCCATGAGGCAGCCACCGCCTTACAAGCCCCCTCCCATGGTCACCTCCCCGCCCGGAGGTGCAGTCTCCATTAGCAAGGAGCACCAGGAGAACTACCAGGATTGCGTGGATGAGTTCGCAGCTGCCATAAAGCGCATCGAGCCCGCCCGTCTGGAGAAGCAACCGTCGGTCAAGTCAGAGGATCCGGAGCAGAAACCCTCTCGATCCAACTCCATCGATGTGACCGACAACAAGGAGAACATACCGCGATTCTCCTTCTCCTCCGAGGCCTCCACGGACTCCAACCCCAACGAAAAGCCGGAGAAGTCCAGCGAAGACGATTCCAAACCCATTGCCGTGGGCGATGCGGCCGAGAATCCCATCAGCGTGAAGGAGGCCACGCGCAAGTTCAACCGGATGGCATCCGAAGAAGAGGCTAAAATCATATCGCCACCAGCCAAGAAGAAGCCAGAGAAGGTGAGTGACTAAAAACCGGTTAAAAGTGGCATTACCCATGATGCGGGCGAGGGTTTTGGTTGGAGTGCGGTGCGGGTGCGGGTGACTTTAGAGAGCCCTTCCCTCCCAGCGGTGCCACAATTTGTTCCATTTCCTGTGTGTCAGTGGGAAGATTCGCTCGAAGACAATCCAAATATGCGACGTTTTTTGCATGGGTTTAGTTGTGATTAATTATCACAGTTGGGAATATTTCCATAAGAAGTTTTCAGAGATTGAGGAAATAGCTAAACATGTACCTTCACATAACTAGCTCTTTATTCTTAGTAAGGACAAAGTAAACTACTTTAGCCAAAGATTTTAGTTGGCCTTTGTTCTCAAGCATAGCTCGCAAATTCCAGAAGAATTTGATAACAAATTAATTTGATATCAAACCTAATACATGTTTGTTAACAAAGAACAGTAGAACATAGTGTTAAAACAGATGTCTTACTGTGTGCTGGTACCGATAATTTTTTCTTCTAAAAATAAGTATATAAATATGTTTTTAAATTTCACTTTCGGATAACAAAATTTAAACTTTAACGATTGGATTTTAAGCTGCCAAGAACGTTTTGTTCATTTTTTAACAGCACATGAGAAAGATTCTTCTCATACTTATTTATAAATTTTCCTTAGTGTTCTAGCCTGTGCATTTGGATTAAAAAAGTAGTACCTTGGCCATCACTGCCTATGACTGAATGGCATAAAAGTACTTGCTGTTATTCCGCTACAAATCAGGGTCAGATTAGATCTAAGGGCCCTTGAAACCCCGAGCAATTATTGTCAATGCATCAGTGGCTGTCCCAGGCTTTGGGCCACCTCAAGTGGAACTGCTGGCGGAGTGCCTGCCTGCCTGCCTGTCTGCTTGGCTCGAACTAAGCTAGCCGGTCACCCAACTGTCTGTCAGTTCCCAGAGCCTTGTCACGAATTGCCACCAGCACAGCCAGAATTGAATAAATCCATTAATTTTATTAGTGGACAATATAAATGTAAGTCTCATAAAACTACATGCGCCTGCATCGTTCCGTTCGCTTTTCTGTCCGTTTCTCTCTGTCCCGGCTTTGTCGCGGCGCATTCGAGAGCTGGAGAACTGGATAGCTGGAGAGCTGATGCCCGACATGTGTACTTACATGCGGACACATGTACTCCGATTCCGAATTCGATTCCCGCGTCCGATGTGTTTAGTAACTTTGTGCCATCAACTGGCCACGACGACACTTCTCGCCGGCACTTTGTCCAGGCGTTTGCTCTGCAAGCTGTTTTTCTGCCATGTTTGCTTTTATTTTTATTTTTTTGATACCCCAAAAGCCTATTATGTGTACGTACACATGGGGGACAAGCAAAGAATGAGTTACGTGGGAAATTTGCCGGCCAATAAATGCATGCATGCCAGGCTGGCACTCGGAAAAAATTCAAAAAGAATGGATTTAGGAAAATAAAATCATTACTTTGTACTACATTGATTTTTTTTATAAAATTAAAATTATTTTGTTGGCCATTTAAACATTTTTTTTGAACATTTTTCAAAAATAGTTTTTAGTGTGAAGAATACAAAGTTTCTATACCATAATATGAGACCTACTAAAGTATATAGCAAAATAGAACTTCAACACTTCAAAGAAATCCACCCAACTGTCTGCACATACTTATATAATTTGTAGCGTGTCCATTTCAAGATTCTAATTTAGAAATATCAATCTCGGGAGCATGTGGCAGTGGAATTTGTCAAGCGTTACTGAAAAATCGTTTCTTAGTTAATGTTACAAGCTATAGTAGAGCAATCGGGCCGAATTGTCAAACAACTGTCATCCACTTAGGCCTGTCAATCACGCAATTTAGAGTTGAAAACGAATATCCCCAGTGCATAAATCATCAGAATCTGTCTGCGAGACGGATGGTCCCATCCCATCCCTTTGCATCATGTTTAGAGGAAGATGCTCCGCAGCAGTGGATGTACGTCAAACTGAGATTGTCAACGGCACGTCAGATGCTATAAAATCCCACTAAAACATCGGGAAGCGAACTTAAGTGCCTATTTGTACAGACGTTCGGACATGGAAAAATCAAACTCGTCCTTATATTGGAATCTGTTTCAAAGCATCACTGCCGCAACTTCGATTTTCTCACGTATTTCATGTTTCCGGACTTACACATCCCATTTTTGAGTATAGAAATTAAAAATACAGAAATTAAGTCTAAATTAAATGAAAGCAATGGGGGATTTTTTACTAGCCTCGTGAAGCAGCGTGGAATATGGTTGTTGAGAGGGATGGTAAATTAGTTTTACTCCTCTTGTGTTAAACATTACTTTTTAAGTGGAGACCGTTTTAAATAAAGATAACCGAATTGCTTTTTAGTAGCTAACATTTCTAGGCTTACATTTTGTGATTAAATTCTATAATAGAAAACATTTTTTAAAAGAGAAGAATTTAATGAATACATTGCGTGCTACATAGAAAATTTGAATAGTTAATTTAAATGAATGAATTCACGTGAATTAGTTTGCATAAGCTCATTGCCCTTTTTCACAAGTCATTATTAATTTGTCTGCAACATGAATACAGTAAAAAGAAGGGTTATTATTCACTTGATACTGATCGAGTTGAAAGCTGTTATTTAGACCATTGAGGATAAAGAAAGTATCCATATCGTTGTAAGCGGTTACAGCTTGTTAACAAATTGATTCGCTAACAAGACTCACCATCATTTCGGATGGCGCCAACCGTCTTCACGCAATTATTAAAATTCAGTTGTAAACAATATTGGGATAGGTTTGATGGATGCTCGTTTTTTGTTCATCAAAAGAAATAACTAATCATCGCAAATCGAAAAGAAAGTGGCGCATCATGTTCATAGGAATTTCGAGGAGGGATTCTAATTCATGGGATTTTTCCTGGCGTGACCAAAAAACTGGGGAGCAAGTGGAGTAGATCCATCATGACGAACCGTGAAATTTTGGCGTCGCAACTGTAACTGTGGGATCTGGAGTCTCGTCTAGCTGATCAATTAAATTCGTTTCGATCGTTTTTAATTAGCCCGATGATTTTGCATTTTGTACGCTCACTCAGCACCGTTGTGCGATGGAAAAGGATTGATTAATTTACGACCCAAAACAACAAGCGGATTTAAAATGGTTTTTTTTTTTATTTAAATAACTAATATTGATAGAAGTATAATAACATGAGTTTTTAACCATTTTTGATTAATGAAATTTGGAAGGTTAACGGGAAATAACAAAAATGATGGGTTCAAGCTTGAAGTGTTAATATTCAAAACTATTTTCAGGTTGAAGGTTTAATCAAAACTGAAATGAGTCAAATTTATTATTTAAAATCGTTAGATATCAAAAAAATTCGGCACAATTAAAATAAAGAAAAACAATCCAACAGTTTTGGTTTAAAGCATTAAGACCATTAAATTAAATTCCTTTTCAAGTTTCCGTTGGCAAACAAAAACTAAAGCAATAGTTTCGTTAATGTTCTGTGACTCTAATTTAAACCCCCTGGCATCACAAATATCCTTTAAAGCAAATCCCTGCCCAAAAGTAGAATGCAGCATCAAACAGACCGCATATATTCTTATTAAAATAGGAGGCACCTCTCGTGTCCCTGAATGCATATAAAACTGCCATCCGACCCACATCGAAATGGGGTCGGAGACGGGGGCGGGTTCAGGCATCCTGGGATCGAGGGGCGTGGCAGGGACAGACCAAACGAACCCGTGGCGAAACCCTTTGCATAAAACAAGTTGGTGAAACATGTTAACATAGCCAATAAGCAGCAATAGAAATTAGTTAGGCAAAGCTATTCTCATCACGGCCATGCCAGCCACAAAGGACCCAATTAAAAATGTAAGGAAACAAACCAAAAGTTGTTATTGCTGTTAAACAACAACGGACTGTGTCCCGAAGCGGTTAAATTTACAACAGCAACAATTTCCACCCGTTCGTCGGACAAACTGGAGTCCACAGTGCGCGCACACACACACACACCTCCCGTTTGACAAAAACGGACGGAGTCGAATCCCCGGACCTTGGAAATGGCAAACACGACCATTTTGTGGCATCGGTCCAAAGGTAAGACTCGCCGGGCCAACGTAAACACTGAAGGGACATGGCCCAGACCCCGATTCCCGATCCCAGGTCCCATATCCCCCGATCCTAGTATCCCAGGGCCCAGAACCCAGGACCCATGGCCAGTGCGAGTGCCACATCCTGGCAAAGGACAACGGCCAGCTGTGTGATATAATATCGGGCATAAAGGGACACGGGACATAAGAAAACTGGCCAACAAACAAGCGATTGGGGAGGATGAGTGGTGGGCTTGGTTTGCGATAGGCAAGGGCAACCGGTGCTCAACCCCCGTGACATCCCTGTCCGGATTCCAAGTTGGAGTTCGAGTCAGAGTTCCAGTCCGAGTTGCTCTTGGTTTTGCCTTTTTTTTATTTATTTTTTTTTTTTTGTTTGTTGTCTTCTCCCTGTTGGTTGTGCCAAAGCCATAAAAAAGCAACATACCATCGGAATGGGGGAGCCTTGAGGGTGGGTGGCTACAGTTGAAAAAATGTACATCATTAGTACTAAAAGGTAACCATTTGAAAAAGAAACCAGCACAAATATGTAGGCAATTAAGTCCTCTCAAAAAAATTGCTCCTGAAAAAATCATTTAGTTTTCAAAACTCAATGTGAAAAATGTACGGAAGTTTGTCTAAGCTTAGCTTTTAAGCAGGTTATGTTTAAGGATGATTTTACAGCCATTTTGAATATCAACTAATCCATCTTATATTTTGCTTAAGATAAAAACTAAGAGGGTCAAAATGGCTAATTTAATGCAAAAACTAAAATGTGCGCCTAAATATGTTTCTATTTAAACTTGATATCTTGATATGCAACTATTGATTGATTCAAGTTAAGGTTAAGCTTGTGATACCTATTTTTGGAAGTGTGGTGGGCGGTTCATTTCAGTACGGTTCGGTGTGGTTTCTGTTCAATGGGGTTCTGTTTTGGGCTGGGATCTTTTGTTTAGCATTGACATGGCCACTTTGCCAGGGGCCCTGCGTCGCAATGTTTTCACTGTTTTGTGATGTTCTGCTGCTGTTTCTGTCCCTGTGTTACGCCTTTTGCCTCGCTTGCTCGAATGCCCGAATCAGAATCCGAATTCAATTCCAAATCCCCGCTTCGACTTCTAGAAAGCCCATAATGCTCGTTGCCCAAAATGCTCGGCATTTGCAAATGGCGACTGCCCCTTTTACCTGGGAAATTGGACAGAATGTGCGTTTGCCACCAGCCCGTGGCTGTAATTGGAAAAACGTGAGCTCTCCAGGAGTCAAGTGGCGTGTAAATAGAAGAGAGCATGAGGATGAGGTCCTGGCACGCGTTCTGCGCATCCTGCGGCTAAATGCGGCATTCAAATGTCGTTGTATTTATTAGCTATGTAATGTTAGGCTTGGATAATAAAAGGCCTAGAGTGGGTGATGTTGTTGTTCAGGTGAAGCTAAGGCCGGGGATTCCGAGGATTCCACAGCTTGTTTGGCCCGCGAACATTACGCGAATGGATAATTAGTTGCCGAAAATGTGTTGCGCGCTCGTAAATATGAGGCACACATGTCGGCTGCTGTTCTTATTGTCGCGGGCACATGTGTTTGGGAAACCCCTGCCCCGCGGAAACCCCATCCCCATCCATATACCCATACCCATCCCCTCAATCATTAGAGGGCTCATTATCAGCAGCCGAGTTTGCGGGTGTGTGTCCGCCCCGCCTCTTAGCCTAAAAAACTCTGTAAATCACCGAACCAAAAAAACAACGCAACGCTACGCACAGCTACTTTCTTTTAGCGGGAGATCCTCAAGAGCAAAAGAAAAACCCATCGCACTTTCTGCCTTAAGCACGCGCCTAATAAATAAAAATTATTACCTTCATAATTAGTGGAGGAACATGGCGATGGCGCCGTCGAATGCGTGAGCATAATTACCATCCAGCTTTTGCGCCCGTGTCTGCACCCTCGCAACAACACACACATCCCAATTCCATCCCCATCCCCAATCTTATGAGCATCCCAAGTTAACACTCGGAAAAACACTGAATGAATGTTGAACTACTAGAAAAGTATTGCTTATATGCAAAATTGCTATGTAAGTTATTAAAAAAAACATATTCTTTTTTAAAGGCACGTTTAACGGTTTTCTATTTAATTCTTAATTTGGCTTTCAAATCAAGTTCGAAGCATGAAAATACAACTTTTTTTATTAAATAATATTATTGTATTATAAATAGTATTTATTAAACTGTACATTTTTGTAGGGTTTTTAAAACTTGGAAGTATGGTTTTTAGAATAGTCGAATAAAAATTCAACCTTCCTTTAATTTCAACATAAGCAGTGGTTTTCCGCAAAAACTAAGTACTGACGAATGCTTTTGCCGTAAGTTTTGAACATTATAAGCTAATCTTAAGCTGCAAGACTATTAAGTTTTTTTATTAACTCCTTCCAAATAAAAGATATTTGTGTAAATACAATCGATGCTTTTCTGGCTACTCAAAACTATTGGTTTGTTTACTATAAGCTTTATTCCTTTAGCTGAAGCTATTTTAAATATTTAAGTTAGTGCTTTTACTGAATTTTTACTTTCGGTAGCCATATCTCTCTAGTCCCACTTAAAGTCTTGTTCGTGCTTGATCTAATTACGAAATACTAGATATTTTTGAAAGTGCACCCCAACCCCGTCCGTTCCATAACCATATCCATATGCACATCCATCGGATGCCACACACAGGGATTGTGGGGCAATGTTACCCGTGTGCGAGTGGGTAAATTAGAATCGTATATTCCGGGAGGCGACAACTGTGTTGGCGTTAATGCTCTCAATGGGCTTTCTATGTTTTATTCCCGCTTCGTGCTGATGTTTTACGTTTTGGTTTTGGTTTAGGTTTTTTTTGTTTTTGTTTCTGTTTCTGTTTCCCGCCCCCGCCAAGTCGTAGACAAAGTGGCAGAAACATGCATAATTAATTTATGCCCCTCCGGGCGCTCCTCTTATGCTTTCAGCAATTAATCGAGGAGAAGGATTCGCCCGAGGTTACGCTGGCGCATCCCAAGGCGAAGGAGTGGATCGTCTCGATGGCCAAGGCTAATTACCAGGAGCTGGCCAAGATGGCCAGCGAGTACCCGGAACTGGTTAAGCTGCAGGTAAGCCACTCTTTGATTTGCCAGCCACTTTCCACCCACGCTCCTCTAACAAATGCGACAAGTACAAACTATTCATAAGCATTAATTACGACAAATTAAGCAGCAACGCGTTGTTTTTGCCATGTCGAACAACACTTAAAAATGCGAGGAAAATATAATAACGACAACCGGGGGACCGGCCAAACGGGGCGTGGCACGGGGGGCGTTTGTCGCATAGCGAACGAAAAGCAACAACGCCAGCCGAGGCGACAATTAATTGTGAAATATGTTTTCAGCATTTTTAGCACTTGTAGCGCATGTTAAGAAGTGGGCGTGAGCGCGACTCCGACCGACATAGGCCGGACGACGAGTCGGCCATAGACATATATATATATATATTTAGATATAGGCGTAGATATATGGACTGCCATTGGGCAACCACTGACGACTGATCTCGAACAGAATCGGGATGAGTGGGTGAGGGGGAGAGGAGTGTCTCGAAGCGACAGACACAATACATGCAATTTCCATTTTTTCGCACTGTTGGTTTCCACAATCATTTGCTACTGCACAATTGTGAAATCCGACAAATTTGCATAATTTGGAATCAAACGACTTTAAGAATAAAAAAAAACGGGCATTAAATATTTGTTTACCCGATTTGCTTAATTAACAGTTTAAAGTTGATAAATTAAGAATTAAAGTTAATAGGTCAAAGGATTGTCTGTTGTTTTTTGGTTGCCATTCCATTTTTCATTGAATATTTTCTATGTAATTACTCTGTGTATTGGCTTTATCTACCTTTTTGTAATTAATTTTCCTGTTTAATCTAATTTCTAAAATTTTTACTTTTGACAAAGCAATGTAGTATTATTAGTTTTTTACTATTCATATAGTTTAGATTTTCTTTTTTATAAAATCAATTTCAACACTTAATGATTTAATATAATCATTCTTACCTCAAGCATCTTTGATTTATTCGCATTTTAAAAATCTTCACCCCAAAAAGGTGTTTTTAAAATTATTACCTAGACTTATTTTAGGAATTGTTAATTGTTGGTAATCAAAAATGTTTTTACACAATGTCTGAATGCATTTTACGTGAGTTATTGCGTTGGAAAATTTTGTATTAAAGGATCATAAATAAAAAAAACACAAGAGCTAAATTTCTTATTACTAGAATATTTATAGATTTAGTTTAGGGTATATTGAGACTAGAAAAATGCAGATTAAAATAGGCTGGAATTTCTTACGACCTCCACAAAAGTCGGTCTACTTAAATAATTAACATTCAATTATATCTTTAAATGTGCATTATAGTAATTAGATAAGGTAACCCATTCTTGTAACTGTTGATTTAAATATCTCTAACTTAAGGATTGGGTATTCCCTGGTCCATCACCCCTAGACCAGTTTTTTACATTTATTTATGACATGCGTGTGACCCCACTCAAATTGGGGAAAGAGCGAGTCCCAATTCTCGAGGGGTCGCCGCAAATGAGACATGGAAAAATGGCTCCGCTCGCGACATCTCGAGATTGGGATTGGGATTCGTGCGGGCTCAGTGTGAGAACTCAATACGATCCGCCAGATTTGCTGGCGGTTGCCGTTGCTGTGGTGCCTCTCAATTAGACAGCGTTTTCGGAGTTTTGTACGGCCCCGGGTATTTATGTCCCATATATGCCATATATCCAAAACCCTGATACTGGGGCGTCGGCCCCGTTGCAAGATGATTTATGCCGTCCGCAGAGGAACATGGGCCCCAGGGCCCGGGTCTGCGGCGAAGGCGTGGTATATTATGTTCGCGAGCGGACTAATTGCCGTACAAATGCACTGTTCCCGGAAATAATGAATTCCGCACTCTGCATACGCGTACATGTACGAATGCGCTTGCAAATCTTGAGGGCCATAAGTGCAATCAATTAATGAGCCAGCACCACAGCACCATAGCACCAGCACCCCGGAGGCCATTGGATGAGCAACTGCCAACTGGCAGCTCATTTGCGGCGCTTCCAATTCCTTGAATCACTGAAATCGCAACGAGACGGAAATAGCCATAAATCAGACCGCGATTGCCACTTAACCTAATGCCTCAAGTTCCTTCGGGGGGCACCGAATACAAAATCTGTCTTTTGCTCGTTTGCAGATGTGAATGGCCGAAAAAACTGTATTTATCTTCTGAGCACTAAAATGTTCACTCGCAGTTTATCATTAGACAATTTAGTGCAATTAGTTTCTAATGGTGCATTAAATTAACTAATGTGACAATTATAACTGGGAATGTTCATGATTTTTAGGTGGTGTTATAAAATAAGATATGATATGCGTCCAATATCCACGAATCTGTTTTATAAACGCTTGTGAAACCACAATTCAACTTTAAATCTGGAAAAAAACCAAGACAAAAAAAACTCTTCTAAATAATTAAAAGTATTTTAAAAATGCTATATCTTGTAAGATTAAAACTTCTAATTGTACAAATTAAGGAAATTACAACTCCTATACCTAGGAAAAGTTTATGTCTCCGAAAGACTAATGTCAAATAAGAACAAATTCTACTTTCTAACTCTTGTTTCCAAAAAAGTATTTTAAACCAACTGGAATATATTCTAAGTGAAATCTGCCCGGAGCCCCAAAGTTATGCAGATAGATTCAGTTACACTTGTATGCTAACAGGATTATGTACAATGTCCGGACTCACATGCCGACCATTTACATATGTACGCGTATGTATATAAACGGGCCAGAATTGTGGAGAAACTCCAAATAAATATTCCCCAGTCATCGGCGGCGGTAGGGTGAAAAAAAATATTTTTAATTTGAATAAGTAATTCGTACAACGGGCCAAAATCAAAAAAGAAACAAGTCGAAACAAATGCGAAACAAGGAAAATTCAATTTACCCGCATGTCAAACCGAATTGCCGGCTAGGTCAAACACGTTGATGGATGGATGGACGGAGTGGATGCACGGTTAGCCGGATGAAGGACAGGAGGGAAGGGAAGGGAACTGACTGGAGGAGGTAAACCCGCCAGCAACACCAAGAGCACACCGGCAACAACACGGCACCAGCGCAACAACGTCGACAAGCTTAAATTGCAAAACGGTGCATGCTTGTCTATTTGGGGCGGTCCCAACGCCCGACCAAAATCGGACGGACTGGAAACAATAGACAAACCCGCGCTCAAAATGGGGAAAGTCCAACCCACACACACACACACCCTGGCACACAGAAACACCTGAATGGCAAAGGAGCTGCTGCGGCGGGGAACAAAAAAAATATATACATATATATAACTCGGTAAAAGTACACACGAGCCGAAGTTTTTAATTAATACAAAACTTGTAACATTTTATAAGCCGCTACTACATATTAGCAGCGACTGGCGTTTTGAATATATGCACATACTGATATGTGTACTATATGTGGCTTTTATGCCCGGACAAGGGCATTCCATCAACTCATGCCATTCCAGATCCGAAAACATTAGGCACTCTGGATTGGCTGTGGATGTGGATGTGGCCTTTTGGATGGCATGCCCAGGTGGACTATTTAACCGAATTCAAATGTGCATGTCCGTTTACACAGAGTCATGTCCATGACTGTGCATCTAACCCATGGTGCGGCGGCAATGGTGACGGTGCCAATGCCGATACCCATGGCCATGCCGATGCCGATGCCCATGCCCATGCCGATGCCAATGCCGGTGCCATGTTGCCAGTGCTTGATTGCTGATGTCGTATGCCAGAAATTTAATTAAACTTGGGATACAAACAACCTCAAGCGGCTGGACAAGCCCATATTTGAGTACGGACACATTTCAGACTGTGTTCCGCAATAATTTGTTTGGCTATTAAAACACATACAGGAATTTTGAGTACCTACTAAAATAACAAAATATATAAAAACAATAACTTCTCTAAAAAAAAATAACTTTCTCTAACATTTCACTATTTGTAAAGCATTCGGGAGCAACTAGCTTCAGTTATCTAAACTCCTAGATTTTTAATGGCTACCAGAATCAGTTGACTTATGAATTGATTATAAAATTTTGTATTCTGCTTTTTATTTAATCTATGTAACAGTTGAAACTCAAAGGAATTTAAATGTGATGGGTTACAAATAACTTTATCTCATTTTTTTAAGAATACATAATTTTAATGTATTTAACAATGTTTTTTAACTCCATGGTATCTAAATGTAAAAAATGGGTTTGGTTACTATTAACTTTAATTAATTTTGTTAAGAATACATTTCAAAACCAGGCTTAAATTTAATTAGATTCCAAAACATTATTTTGAATTAAAAAAGTACTTAAGTAAATCGTCTAATATTAGCTTTTATTATAATAAGATCATACAGAGTTTTACTGCTCTCATTTTTATTAGACAATTGGTATGTTTATTCTTCACATTTATGTCATCTTTTAATTGAATAATACCAGTGCAAATCGCATAAGGTGCCATTTAACGCCCAAGATCTAAGGACAATCTTCAAAGTCCGTCTGGGAACTCTCCTCGCATCGTGACCATGAACTTTTCAACAGGTCGTCCGCAAAGGCCATAAAACGTCTGACACCTTTGACAGTCCCTGCGGCGCACTCAAAACTGCACTCCAATAATATAGTAGTGCCTATGTATAGTGTGTCAGCGGCGTTGGTGGCGCCCTGGCCAAGAAGTGGCATATGATTCCCCTTTGGATGGAGAACATCAAACCAAACGGCGGCCTGTGTGAAAGATACTTTCCATGAGTGCCATTAAATTGAGGTGACAATTCAATCAACAATCCGAGCAGCAAACACCGGCGAAAACGGCTCTGCGGCTGTCAAATGAGTGAAGCCTTTCCAGAAATCAAATCAAATGTGTTTACGACGTCTGCCACGTTGGTGGCTCAATTTTATGTCGCTGCGCAGCTATTAAATTTAATTAGAGCTCTGTGTCGTCGCTGCCGTCAGTGGACGTGAACGCATAAATGTCATCAAAATATTTCCCTGAACGGCGGCTTTATATTTAGTTATTCTG